TAGATAAAAAAAATTGCGATACGGATTTTATCTTAGTTCAATAGGTCCTCTGTTCTCTGCTCAAGGATTGTTACTTAAAAATTAATTCTAAAGCGCAAATCTTAAAGTTAGTTAATGTCTGGTTCCAAACAGAAGGGGACCGTGGAGTCCAGGACGTAACAATATCTTTGTAATTATATATACTTGTAGCTCTTCTTAGATGAAGGCAAAGGCGATCGAGATGATCGACATGATACACTGACAGTGGCGAATTTCCTTTATCGATTGGATGAAGAAACCCTTCCCTTTTGCCCCGTTTTCTTTCTGCCAGGATACATGTAACGCAACGCTGAATAACCTTCCCGATTTTGGCTCGCATACCCTTGAACCAATACTCTCTTCGCAGAAGTGCCTCCGTTTTATCCGTCCGCAAAATGTCCATTCTCGTGAGCCTGCCTAATCACCTGAGTCTGCATACTCTTCGGAACAACCATCTGCTCTTCACCTTTATCGTTTATTTTATATAGAAGATTGCTTTTTACTTTGTAATTCTCGGCAGTCCCGTTCTCAGCAGCTTTAAAACAAGCTTGCAGCTCTGGGTCCTCTCGTTGTGCCTGTCTCAATCTCTCCACAAGTCTCCCGCAGTCTCTTTGTTCATCATATAACACGCAGGAAGAGAGTTCCGACTCAAAGCATCGACATGTTGCATGGCTCTACCCGACCGATGCTCTATCGTGTAGTCAAAATCCTGCATGAATATTGCCCAATGAGCAATACGAGCGGAAATATCTTGCTCATCGTCTTTACAAAAGCATCGCAGTTCGTAACAATTCGAAACGATATTCCTAATAAATATACTCTAAATTTCTTAAGCGCTTTTACAACCGCAAGCACTTCCAGCTCATAACTCGTGTATCGTTCCTCCGCAGAAGTCGTTCGGCTGCTCGCATAATACACAGGGTGCCACGAGCTGTTTTCGCTATCGCGCTGTAACAAGATTGCGCCAAACCCGTACATACACGCGTCCGTGTGTAGCTCGGTTTCCGCTTTTACATTATATAAGTGTAGCACTGGTTTTTTAGTTAATGCCATTTTTAACATCTCAAAAGCTCGTACTTCTTTCTCGCCGAATATGAACGGTACGCTCGCTCGCAATAAATTAGTCAAGGGCCTAGCAATTGCAGAATAATCCTGTATAAATTTTCTAAAATACCCGGTAAGTAAATACCCCTAAAAAACTTTGCACCTGCTTAACATTGCCCGGCTTAGGAAATTTCTCGACCGCTTTGGTTTTATGAGTAGAAGGTCTGACGGATCCGTTTTCTACTATATGTCCTAGGTACTCTGCTCTCGACTGAAGAAAACAACTTTTCTTCCAGTTGATTTGTAAGCCATACTGGCTCACCACATTCAACATAATTTCCAAACTTTTTAATCCTTTCGCGAGATCAACTGACGGGATTATAATATCGTCCATATAGACTAAGATGGTCTTATTTGCAATTAAATCTCTAAATATGGCATTTATATACCGCTGGAAAACGGACGGTGAATTACAAAGGCCGAAGGGCACTTTGAGAAATTCATAGTGTCCATCCGGTATGACAAAAGCTGTATATTTACGACTTTCTCTACTCAACGCACAATGAAAAAAACCATTTTTTAAATGTCTAATGTACTAAAAATCCTGGCCTTTTGTAAACCGTCTAATTGATCCTCCACTAGTGGCAAGGGATACCTATCTCTAACTATTTTTTGGTTTAGTTTTCTATAATCAACGCATAATCTACTCGAACCGTCCTTCTTTTTAACTAATACGATCGGACTAGCATATTCCGAAAGAGACAGCTGAATTATCTTATCGCAAAGCCATTCCTGAATCTGTTTATCAACTATGTCCTTCTCTAGAGACGATAATCGCCTCGGTCGCTGCCAAACAGGTTCATCGTCCTTTGTTATTATCGTCATTTTTACTTCTACCTCTCGAGTCTTCATCGGGTTACGAGGTGTGATCAAAAAATAAGGTGACTTTTCATTTTTATAAAAAAATATTCATTTATTTATCCAAAATTATGTTATCCCCTTCAAAATAATCCCCCTCTGATACAATGCACTTGTGCCAGCGCTTTTTCCAGTCGTCAAAACACTTCTGAAATGCACTTTTAGGTATTGCCTTGAGCTCTACCAGCGATGCAGCCTTAATCTCCTCAATCGTCGCAAATCTTCGTCTTTTCATGGGCCTTTTCAATTTTGGGAAGAGGAAAAAGTCGCAGGGGGCCAAGTCTGGTGAATACGGTGGCTGAGGCATGATGGTAGTATTGTTTGTGGCCAAAAAACTACTCACTAGTAACGACGTGTGCGTGTGTGCTTCTGATCAAAATTAAACAGTTTTGGAACGAATTTCGCTGACACACGTGTCATACCCAAAACATCCGTTAAAATTGATTGGCATGACCCAAACGATATGTTAAGATTATTAGCTACTTCTCTAATCGTGATTCAACGATTTTTCAACACAATTTCTTTCACTTTCTGAACATTTTTGTCGATTTTTAACGTGCTGGGGCGTCCAGAGCGAGGTTCATCGTTAACATTTTCTCGGCCCTCTTGGAATAACTTATACCATTTATAAACATTTTTTTTGCTCAAAGTTGACTCACCGTACGCCACTGTCAACATTTCAAGAGTTTTTGAACACTTAATACCATTTTTTACACAAAAATTAATACAAACTCTCTGCTCCATTATTTTCAACAGCAAAAAATCGCCGAGCACGTAAACACGAGTCTAACCTTTATGCCTCTCACATAAAAACAACACATGCTATATAGTCAAAACTGTGAACATATGATCGTGACGAGTGTACCAACACAACAACAAAAAAATTTTGAAATTAGAGTGTACAGAGCGCGCGAAATTCAAAGAGTCACCTTACTTTTTGATCACACTTTGTACATACACACTCATATCACAAACAACCTCGCGCTCGTCTTATCTGCTTTAACGTGCATGATTTTACAATTTCATTTCTACAATATAAAGGTACGTAATTATAATATGTTTAATTCTCAACATCATTTTCAAAAAAAAAAAAATAATAACACCTGTGTTAATAACAATGTCAACAGATCAATTGATAAGGACTTCAAATAAAGTCAAAACGTTTTGACAAATAATTGTTTTAAACTAATTATTACTGCATCACATCCTGCAAAGGCTCCATACAGCCATTTCCATCCAAATAATACATTGGATAAATAACTTCATTTTGGACTATTTTGATAGAAGAATAAAGACCTGCATTCGTGCTGAAGATGGTCATTTTGAATATCATATCTAATTTGATTTAAATACCTGTTTATGTTATAAACATCACAATAAAATGAATCACAATAAAAAATATATACATATTATAATGTAAATGTTACGCTTTTAAAACAGAATATATTTATAACCAAATAAATGAATCGCGAAAATAAATAATTCATTGTCACTGAACAATCGGCGATAAAAAAGAATAAAGATTGTTAGGATGGGAGAGGATTTCCCATCGAATTGAGTACACTGAATTTAGTCGACCGAATATGGTTCATTACGTGCCATAACGAGATACTAAAGATACACAAACCGAATGCAATGAAGCAGTCTCGTTCTTATGTTTTATTTTTTGCAATATTTTTAAATTAGATAGGGAGTAAACGGGGATTTTTATATACGTGATGCAAGTATAGCATCTTATATGAATTTAGGAACTGAAATTTCAATTTAAACTTACGTGTAAAAATTTACACGTGAGTGTAATATAAATATATATATGTATTTATTTATTCCGCAACAAACATCTAGCGTAAGGCTCTCATGACCGTTTAAATTTCGCACAGTTTGGAACTTAAGAGCCTAAAACTTTGTATTAATCGTTCTTATATGTTTATACGTTTAAATACAAATAATATATAATTGACATGTAAGTAATATATTCAGAACAGAGTAAATACGAATCGTTGTAAAAAAATACTCTCCTAACAAATTCTAAATGTATTTTACGTTTTATGTACACAAAGAGATTATTTATGTGCATGCATATACGACTGCGAGTATCAGAAAGATGCGATGTATCTACCACAAATAACGAATCATAAATATGAACGCTCATGATAACGGATCTATCGTTATTTTTTTCTCTATTATTTTTGTTTTAATTACAGGTTCCGGTCAGAAATTTTAAATATTTGTAAGCATATGTTGTACTAATTGTAAACAACTTTTTTCTTTTATTTCTCTTCAAATGTATCTAAATTATTATTATTGTTTTTTTCAACAATTGTATATTTTTCTTCCTTTTACTTTTGTATCGTCACAAAACTATTCTAACTACTTGTCGCGTAGTATTAAGTTAAAAGTTAATATTTAATAGATTCAAGCTGCTTCAACGTAAAATCTTGAAAATTAAAACTGTTTTATGTTATTTCGATGATTGTTATAGGCGGGCGACATGACGACCGCACGTTGTCGCGGCTTTACGGTGTATCCACCGTCCGTTTTCTATCCAATTCACTATAAACAATGGAGGAAGTATTTTGAGATAAGGAACAGCAACACTACTCTGAAGACGTTGAGCAAAGCGAAGGCGATTCACGTGTGGAACAAATTGAGCAAAGATGAGAAGGTGCGAGTGGACAGCAACGTGCCATATGCTGTTATCGCGCGCAAATATTGTCCACGCGTTTTCAACAACTGCGGCAAAATATTTTGAATCACTTTAGAGAATGTAATATATTATTGAATTGATAGAATACTAAGAATCCTGTACGTGATTTTCGCATTTATCTGAAATAATCGAAAGAGAGAGAGAACTACACCAAAAAAAAGATCTCGGAAAATAATCATGAAGCCAAATGTTTTAGTACAATAATTTTAATTAAATATGTAAGTAAACATAATATAAAAAGTAGTGACCAATAATCTGATTACAAATGGCTCAACAATTACTATTAAATTATTTCATAGATACTGATTATAAAACAATTCAGTTGGTTTGCTTCATGAAGAATTTTACTTACTAATTATTCGATGCTTTGGTGATTATCACCAAACAGTTTAGCAACACTGTTACTACAGATACACAACACTGTTATATCGGATACTAATTTGATACTAAAACTGGACGCTTAACTAAATGGTCCGATAATTATATTGCCAGATTTTTGTCAATGTTCTTATCGACGTAATATTTATGCAATACTTGTAAAAAGGCTGATTTAGAAAAGTGTTTTATATAATACTCCGCAATGCCCCTATGTAACTATAAAGAATATATATATATTTATAATAATTTAACGCCTGATATAAACAAAAACCCACGGAGATCAATATCACTCTTTGAAGTATTGCAAATTATTGAGATAAACTATGGAGTCAAAATAAATCTGTGTGTGTGTGTGTGTGTGTGTGCGCGCGCGCGTGTGCGTGTGCGTGTGCGTGCGTGTGCGTGTGCGTGTGCGTGTGCGTGTGCGTGCGTGCGTGCGTGCGTGCGTGTGTGTGCGTGTGTGTGTGTGTGTGTGTGTGTGTGTGGTGAGCGCAATGTGTAATTCGTGCGATTATGATTTGTATATTAATGAAGCAATCTTGGTGCAAATGAAATGTTAATGCGTACTATGTACATTTGACCATCTACATGTAATACAAATTAACGAATTTTTTTTGTTGACTGAAAATCAAAAAAGTCTATTTTTACATTTGAAAACTCATCAAGAGTTATATATATTTCCTTTGTAGATTATATTATACAAACATTCTATATATTTTTTATTTGTACAAAAATTGTAAGATTATTTTCTATATTTGTTAAGTTGTCTCGCATTATAAGGAAATCATTACAAAAATTATTCTTTACTAACTAAAAAAACATTTCAAATTGTTACAATGTATGAATCTACATATCAAATCACAATTATTACAGAATTTTGAATATATATTATACAATATATATTGTATATATATCGAATATATATTGTATAATATATATTGAAAATTCAGTAAGAATTAATAATATATGTTTATATATGTTTATATGTTTAATAATATATTAATAATATATCCATACAGTTTGGAGATGGATGTCCGTTTTTATCGATACAGTAGCTTAACTGTTTTAATTCATTCACTGTATAAAAGATTAGTCTTTAAAGAGAATCGCTCAGTAAAAAACATGAGTTGTTTAACCAATGCAACTATATAGATGTTCCACAACTACAGCTCAATATCATTAGAATAGAATATTTAGAACGTCTTGAGACATGTACAAAAACGGCGAGTTAAACTTGTTAATCCGGGAAAAAATTTTTTTTTGATATATAATTATATATACTTGTCCCAGTCAGAAATACCTTGTCGAATCGACGTCGATTCGACGTCGATTATACTAGTCAATCTACGGTTGATCGACGTCGATTTCTGACTGGGTGTACACAAATTAAAATTATTATACGCAATGATGCAAATTTATATGCCGAATATGTCCATACAATTTTATACGGAAAATTTCTTTTTTCAAGAGAATGGCTTTAGAGATATTCCATATCAAATTACAAAATAACTCTATTAGTATCATGTTAGTACATGTTAGATACAAAAAAATTATATGAAACTATATTTTTCGTTTAATTATTCAAAGATACTAATAGAGTTAGTTTGTAATTTGATATGGAATATTTCTAAAGCCATTCTCTTAAAAAAAGAAATTCTTCGTGTATAAAATTGTATGGACATATTCGGCATATAAATTTGCATAATTAGATATCATAATTTTAATTTGTGCGCAAGTATACATAATTACATATAATTATATACCAAAAATTTTTTACCGGGAAGTTATAAGCGATTAAAGATTACCAGGCACAATGCCGACATATCGGGCGCATAGTTTAGTTTAGATATGATAAAAAGCAGGAAGTGATGAAGATTTTTAACTAGAGCGACATTTACATTGGTATAAAATACAAAATTATCTTTGAAAAATAATTCCTCCATGTGCCGCAACACATTTGGTCATTGCAGACCATTATAAATCATGTATATAACTATGTACCCATACAGCACAGCAAGATTGCAGCAATATTGTTGTGCAAGATTGCAGCATTGCAGAAACATTGCAAAATGTTGCAGCAACGTTGTTGCAGCATTGCAGCAACAGTAAAATGTCCGCTTACAGAAATATTGCAATGTAACATTGCAGAAATATTGCAATGTAATATTGGAGTATAATATATATGCAATAATACTTTTTGTGTGTATATATATATATAAAACTATTATGATATACACACACACACACACACACACACACACGCACACGCAC